ACAGGAACACAAGGGATTGGACCCAGATGCAGACATCAAGGCAGAGAAGGTCCCTGTTCAGCAAAGGTCAGGCAAGAATAATCATTTAGATAGGATCAAAGAATTTATTTGCTTGCAGTAGTTAGGTTTGGCTGTGTTCTGGGACCCCCCTGCCTCTCCATGTGCCTTCGTGGACCACAAGGTTGGGAGCGCACCTCCCCGCCCTTAGACATGGCTACGTGTAAAGCCATAGGACAGGGAGAGCACACCTCTCGGCCCTTCCATGGGTTTGCGTGGGAAAGCCATAAGGCGGGTGGTGCACCTCCTTGCCCATCCATATGCACACATGGAAATCCCGGGGCAGAGAGAGCAGCAGCAAAGACGCCCCCTAGGGTCCAGAACAGAACAGCGTCAATAAATAGAGAAGGTTAAACAGGCTCTAGCAGCTTAAATAATTTGCCTTCAATATCTTTGCCAATTAAAGGGAAATCAGCTGAGTTGTCAGCTGATGTGGGCATGACTTTACATGGGCACTGGAATTTTGAGCTGAGCTTGACTTTGTTGCTTGCCTGAATGAATGCAATGCTAGATAACCAGTTAGGCAAGGTTCAATGAACTAGTCCACAAAAATAGAAAACACTGGGAACTGCAGGTGAACTTGAACATAACACAACAGTGTAGGAAATATGATGATGGTGAATAATTTGAATTTTCTACACAGAACTGATGCCCTGCATATGTCCTCTGTCGGCTAAACAAGCTCTTTGAGGGCTCAGAGAAAAACTTCTGTTTTATTTCCACATGCTGATTTTGTTGTAAGAACTGAACTAACAAGAAGTAGTTACACACGTCCGCAAATTTTTTTTTTTACCTCTCTTTTCCAGGAATGCACTGATCACATTCACACTGGAAGCTGCCCAGTACAACCACAGTCTGGTCTGCTGGCCACTAAGTAGCTCCAAAAAAGCTCCACTGGAGCTGTTGGGGTTATGGGCCTTGCTCAAGGGCACCTCAGTGGTGGTAAATGAGAGAGGGCAAGCACTGCTTGGTTTACTTTCCCTGGTCCAGTCACAAGCTTGCTCCTCTAACCTTTGGGCCACCACTACAGACAAATGTGATGTGTGCCTGGTCTCGGCTGCTTCTTCATTTCTCCTCATTTCACGATTCTCAGGAAAGGAGACATTCCTGTTACATTTACATGTATTCATTTAGCTGACGCTTTTATCCAAAGCAACTTACAATTGCTATACATGTCAGAGGTTGCACGCCTCTGGAGGGGTTAAGTGTCTTGCTCAGGTGGATGTGTTGCAGTGGGGAATTAAACCTCGGCCTCTCACACCAAAGGCATGTGTCTTAACTATTGCGCCATCAACACCCCTGTTATCCCAACAATAGGGACAGTGTATTGATACTGACATGTACTGATTTTATTTGACATATCATTTTCTGTAAAAGTATATGTATGCAAGAACATTTGTATTGTTGTATATTAATAATAACGCATGTGACAATGAATTTAAGACTTTTCAGACTGAATTAACAGTCTACTACTTCAACTACTTTTTACAAAGTGGATCATTATATTATTCATGTATTTTGTGTTTCATTTCTTTTAGCACCTGATATGGCCATGTTTTCAAACATGGGAGAATATAATTGGTAACTGTTACAGACTCAAGTGGCTCAAGCCCAGAGATTAGGAGAGGAACTCAAATTTAATTGAGAACCAGGCCAAAAGAAAGAACAGATTATGTGCAAACAAACAAAACATATTTATAACAAGCATAATGTGCATTTCCTAAAGTCAATGCATGTGAGAGCTTTCAGCTGTCAGCTGTGACTGCTCCCACTGCTGCTGCAACATGCTGCTCCATGCTGCATCAGCAATTCTTAAGCGCCCCCTACAGGTTTACCTAAAATCCATCATATGCCATAGACCTGCTCAGCAATATTATCTGTTCAGTTTTTCTGGTTAAAATGCCCTGAACGTAATTCAATCCGTCAGTCTTTGGATCTGAAGGGCAAAACCTTAACCACTTAGAATAATGCTTTTAACATTTTCCTTTGATCTTGTGTGCTTAAATCACATGTAATGCCTCCAAATAACCTAAAGAGGGCACTTGATGACCAGAAATGCCTGGCATTCGACTGTTTTGCTTGTAAATATATTTTCTGTGAAGTCTAGTTCACTGTTGCAGAATAAAGCCTAGTTCACACTACACGATTTTAAGCCCGATCTGCCGGTCAGCGAGCTCTGTGACCGTCAGGCTGTGATCAGGAGTAAATCAGTGATCGAACTGCTGCGGTCACCAGTCGTTATGTGTGAACTACCGGACGACGCGTTAAAACGCATCCCCAACACATTTCTGACACATCGCCAGATATCTAGCATGCCAAATATCTGGAAGAGTCGGCCGACTCGACTTCCACATCCAGCCAATGAGAGCAGGCAGCTGGCAGAGCAGGCAGCTACTTTTTCACCGCAAAATACTTTTTACTCCCCTCCAGCTCTCTCTGTAGCATGGACAATCTCTGCTACCTGCGTGTCTGAATCCACTCTATCACCCATATTCTTTGTCTTTATAATTGCTATCTATAATAACAAACAACAGCTGTGTTTTCTTGACAAAAGGTGGTTTGGAGACCAGCTGTTGGGTGACACAGCCACTGTCAGCTCATGTAGTGTGTGACCTTCTGTCACTAATAAGTCACGTAGTGTGAACGCCACGACGACTTCAAGACCCCCGTCACAAGACAGCAAGTTGTGTAGTCTGAACAGCACAGCCATTGGCCGATGCAGAAAGTCGTGTAGTCTGCACGAGCCTGAAGACACAGAAAGCGACTATAATCTCATGAAAGACTTCTTTCAATGTAAACAATGATTGCATTTCTAAAGACTAATAATATTCAAATTAAAAAACAACCACAGCAAATCAGGGAACTGAATATTTTGTTGGCAGCATTGAGTTCAAACACCATACAGCTATGACCAGGTCTGGAAAGATAAGTGCTGGTTGGAAGAACAACACTATAGGCCTACTGAGCTGTAGGACAAGACCTGTTATGAAGCTCACAATTTGAAGAAGAAAGAAAGATATTCACAAAGAAGGAGTTTGTTGGAGACAGAGGCGCGATTCTCTGCAAGAGGGAAACACCAGCTCCAAATAACAGCGCAATAGGACTATTATGTGATTGTAATTAATCAGAAGGTTGCTGTTATTTTAAAATATTACATGTGTTGATGGAGATGGGAATGGTTGTAACACATCCAATTTCTCTAATCAGGAACAAGTTACAAATCACCTGATTTACTCTACACATGCATGGTTGAGACCTTATTCCACTTAGGCACCTGACCCTTTGTTAATAGCATTGCCTGCTTTGCAGTTAAACTCATAACCTAAATCATGTTTATGGTGTGTCTATGTAAATACCTTTCATGCATGTTGTTTTTTAGCTGTAAGGTAGTTCACATCGAGTATGCTGTGTCTGACACACACACACACACAGTAATGCTTAATTGTTTTATGATTAAATGTTGGTATAAGACCTGTAGACTTCTCTCTATGACAACTGGCTAAACTCCAGCAGTGTCATATGTCACTCACCACTTTGAGGATGCAAGACAAAAACACACAAACACACACACACACACACACACACACACAAATACTCAGTCAGTGCACATTTGCACATTTTGATGAAATGTTTTATTTTGTTTACAGCTATGACTAAGTAGTGACTAAGATACTTGGACCACCACTACACACACAATATTTATGTTAAAAAATTTAGTGTTGACTAAATAGATTTCAATATCATATCATGTTTTTGTCAGTGTAGCAACTAACCAAGACTTTGGGGTGAATTGTAACGTTTTACTCGTTGTGTTTAAGCCTAAACCAGGTATTTAAACATAAATAGCAGTTGTACTATTTACTAGCAGACACATGAAATAGTATCACATTTTGAATGCACTGGCTTAAAAGAGCTCATACAGACAGACATTTCTAAAAATGTTACAACCATCCCCGATGCCCACTTTGATATTGATCTGTGCTAATTATCAGGAAGGTGAATATCAGCAATTAGTTTTATTACCGTATTTATCATCAAACGTTGTTCCAGACCGAGTCATGAGACAGAGACACGCATGAGGAAGAAGCTTGATAGCTGTCGAAGTCCTTTGAAGATTTAACATCCCTTTAACACCAATGTAAAGACAATAATAGACACTTGAAGACTTCTTTCTGCGTCAAAGTCTGAAACACTTTCGATTTCTACGGGAGATGCAACGACAGCTAATCCTTCACAATAAAAGCACAACACTGTTTATCTTCACATTGATATTTCACATTTGACTGCAGCTGTGTGAGGAAATAAAAGCCTGAAGAAGTAGGATGAAAGTGTATGTGGCTGAAAGACTGCAGCCTATTTTGTGTGTGGATTTTCTTTCTATAAAAACAGGCAGCGGGCATGCTGCATGTGATTCAATGTAAAGGCCTCCCCCTCATGTCATCCTGAGCAGCAGAAATTGAATAAGAGTAGCCTATAAAAGCTGAGAGAAAAGAATACATTGGTGAGATAAATAAACAACTATAACTGCCCTTCATTCAAATTGTTACTTATCCCTAATAGGTCTTTAACAACTGTTGCGAAATGTTGATCATAGAATCTGGTCAAAACAGTAAAATCACTTTATTTTCTTTTATCAGAGTTTGAACAGACAGAAACATCAAAAACAGCCACAACATACAGTTTGATATTCTTCATGTTTTTTGTTTTTTTTCCAGAAACTAACGATCTACTGGGATTACACACATCCATCTCTAGGGTTTACAGAGAATGGTCCAAAAAAGAGAAATTATCCAGTATGTGCCTTGTTGATGTCAGAGGAGAATGGTCAGACTGGTTCCAGATGAGAGAAAGGCAACAGTAACTCAAAAAAACACTCGTTACAACCAAGGTATGCAGAATACCATCTCTGAACGCACAACACGTCGAACCTTGAAGCAGATGGGCCACAGCGGCAGAAGACCACACCGGGTGCCACTCCTGTCAGCTGAGAACAGGAAACTGAGGCTACAATTCACACAGGCTCACAAAATCTGGACAACAGAAGATTGGAAAAACTTTGTCTGGTATGAAGAGTCTTGATTTCAGCTGCGACATTCAGATGGGGTCAGAATTTGGCATTAACAACATGAAAGCATGGATCCATCCTGCCTTGTATCAACGTTTCAGGCTGGTGGTGGTGGTGTAACGGTGTGCAGGATAAATCTTTTTGCAAACTTTGGGCCCCTTAGTACCAACTGAGCATTGTTTAAACACAACAGCCTACCTGAGTGTTGTTGCTGACCATGTCCAACCTTTATGACCACAGTGTGCCATCTTCTGATGGCAAATTCCAGCAGGATAATGCACCATGTCACAAAGCTCAAATCATTTCAAACTGGTTTCTTTAACATGACAATGAGTTCACTGTTATCCACTGGCCTCCACAGGCACCAGATCTCAATCCAATAGAGCGCCTTTAGGATGTGGTGGAACGGGAGATTCGCATCATGGATGTGCAGCTGACAAATCTGCAGCAATTGTGTGATGCTATCATGTCAATATTGGACCAAAGTCTCTGAGGAATGTTTCCAACACCTTGTTGAAAGTATGCCACGAAGAAGTAAGGCAGTTCTGAAGGAAAAAGGGGTCCAACCCAAGACTAGCAAGGTGTACCTAATAAAGTGGCCAGTCAGTGTGTATATGTATATAGTAAAAAAAATTGTAATCATTTCATAACAACATGGATGTTAATGTTTGGTAACTTTATAATCTGGATAAAAATAAAGGTTGTTAGATCTGAATAATGATTGCTGCTCAAATATGGAGTTATGGATACAATGATTCTTGTTTCTTTATTTAGATGCTTATCAGCTTCCACAAAGTGGTTGCTGGTCTTCATGGCTCCATTTACATTTATTCATTTAGCTGATACTTTTATCCAAAGCGACATACAATTGCTATGTCACAGGGTTGCACACCTCTGGAGCAACTAAGGGTTAAGTGTCTTGCTCAGGGACACATTGGTGTCTCACAGTTGATACGAACCCGGGTCTCTCACACCAAAGGCATGTCTCTTATCCTCTTCGCAATACACACACAATAGGAAAGAGCGCTTCATGAATATAATCATCTTATTTATCCCCACCTGTTCTGTTCCACTGTCACACACATCTTCAGAGGTGATATTTTTAGTTCATCCCCAGTGAAAATAAATGGAAACAGCCTCTCAGTGAAAGTGTGCGTGAAGGTGTGTATGTGTGTGTTAGTATCAGGATCAGAGAACGACAGCTCTCCACTGTTCCAGTCCAGATTCACTCTGATCCTCTGGGGCTTCTTCTGCACTTTGAGAACAGTGGGTGGATCTGGTAATGACCATGCTGAGTATTTACTTTCATGGAACCACATTCCCCATAATCCAAAATGTATGAGTCCCGTCCTCTGGACAGACTCTGCTAACACACCCAGTGACCAGACTACACTGTCTCCAACCTCGACATCCCAGCTGTGAGTCCCTGAGTTGAAGCCCTCAGAGCCCAGAACAGACCAGTATTTATCAAACCTCTCTGGATTGTCGGGAAGCTGCTGTCTCTCTCCTCCCCTCACGCTGGTCAGATCTTCAGACAGAAGGAGTCTTGGATTTGCAGTGTTTGGATCCAGAATCACAGGAGTGTAGGAGACCATGTCCTTCATCTTGTTCCAGATGTTGAAGGTCAGGTTGCCCAGGTGTTTGGCCTGGTCTATCAGAGCTCCAGAGAGCAGCTGTCCCTCATCCAGCAGGGGGCGCTGCTGGACTCTTTCCACTGCAGCTTTGTAGTTGAGCAGGAATGAGACGTCTTCAGCTCTCAGCTCCTCCTCTGTGGCTCTGACTGTGTCTGAAAGAGCTGCTATCTCTCTGCTCAGAGCCTCCATCTTCTCCTTCATCATCTGACTCTTCTGCTCCTCTTCCTCCCTCAGTGCAGCCATCCTGGCCTCCTCTTCCTCATATAGAAACTGGTGAAGCTTCTTAAACTGCTCCTTAATCTGCCTCTCTGTGTGTCGGGCCTGGACCTTAATGTGTTCTGCTGTTTGGTCAAACTTCACTTTAACTTGTTCACAAACCTTTAACTTCTCCTTTAAGGGCTCCAGAGTTTCCTGAAGTTCCTTCTTGTGTTGTCGTGCAGCTTCATCGATGGGTCTGAATCTGTGGTTGCTGTGCTTTTCTGAATCTCTGCAGATGAGACACACTGGCTGCTGATGGTCCAGACAGAAGAGTTTGAGTTTCTCAGAGTGCAGACTGCAGAGAGCCTCTGAAGCTCTCTGATCTCTCTCCAACAAGAAGGCCTCACACAGGTTCTTCAACACCCGGTTACAATGTGGTTTATTCCTTGAAGATATTCTCTTACAAACTGGACACTCACGTGCTTGTTTCTGTCTCCACCAGCTACTCAGACAGTTTTTACAGAAGCTGTGGCTACATGACAAAAGAACGGGATCTCTGAAGACGTCCTGACAGACCGGACAACAGAGTTCGTCCTCTAATCTGAAAGCCATTTTGTATCTGATGAAGCTGAAAACACAGCAAAAGAAAGTAAAAGTAGAAAGAAAGTACAGTTAGTCATGGCATCCCGCCCTCATAGTCTGCTAACTTTCACTTTGAGTCGTGTTTATTTAGTCAAACTCACCTTCAGTGTGTGGAGCGTCTGCAGGTTGAAGCAGCAGTGTTGTAGTTTTCCTCTTTTCTCTCCTGTAGCTGAACTCACTCAGAAGAAGTTGTTAATTTGGTCTGAAGGTGAATCTGATCATCTCTTCTCTTAGTCTGTGTGTCACTTTAGAGAGGAAAAAAAACAATCTGTTTCCTGGTTTGTCTCAAGTGAGTCAGATGTGGGCGGAATTTTTTTCTACACCTACTTTGCTGAAAGTTTTCCTTTCACGTGTAACACAGGGGTGTGTTGTATTGATTCCTCACTGTAAATGTAGCCTGCTGCACACTAAGTACACTAGGCTACTTGAGTAAGTGTACACAAGGTAAAAACAAAAACACCTCTACTCCTGTTGGAGATGTTTTGTCTTCTCTTATTTAACGTAGAGAAACACAGAAATATATTCAGTTCTTAAATCACCAACATTACATAAAATCTGAACCCAAACGGAGATATGAAGTATGCAATTTCCGGTAAAGTTATCAACAATAAATATGCAACGTCCGGTTACACTTTCAAAATAAAACGCCAGTGTTTCGAAACATCGCCATTTCGAAAGGGTGCATTATTAAAGTCGTGAAACGTTGCAGTTTGGTTAGGTTCAGGCACAAAAAGTAGGCTACTTGATTGGGTTTAGGCAACAAAACTGCTTTGTTAAGATTAGAAAAAGATCATGGTTTGGGTTAAAATAACTATGTCACTTAACCCTTAAGAGTTCCTTTAAAAAACTCACACATTTGTCCTTAGGGACAAAAAGTGGCTCCTTCCCAAAAACTGCTGTAAAAATATCATAAATTAAATTTTTTTTAGTCAAACTCACCTTCACTTACTGATACACACACTGCACACACTAGCCTACACCACATCCCTTCGTTGAATGATGACCACACTTAAGCTCACCTCTTAGAATGTACGCAGAGTTGGTTCAAGAGAAAAGAGATTAAAAAATTTTAACCATCTAAATAATCTGCAAGCAGACATTGTCCTATTACAGGAGACTCATTTATCCAAGACAGTAGATAAACTATACTCACCACAGTTTCCTCACTCGAACTCAGCCTGCTATAACTCAAAACAAAGGGGTGTCACCATGGAATATGACAAAAACACACTTCAATCATAATACCACTAATATAGATCCAGAGGGTCGATTTATTATTGTTAATATTTCGATTCAAAATACTCCTTTGTGCATTGCTTATATCTATGGCCCAAATGTTGACGAGCCCTCCTTTTATCATGCTTTCTTCCATTCACTCTCTGCTCACTCAGACACAGCTCTTATATTAGGAGGGGACTTCAACCTGGTATGTAATCCAGCAGTTGACAGGCTCAGTACGGCAGCTGGTCACTGTATTTGGAAATCAACAGACACTCTTAAACAATACATGAGCAATTTTGGTCTCTGCGATGTTTGGCGTTTTCACCACCCCACTCAAAGAGAATATACCTTCTTTTCACCAGTCCACCACTCATATTCTCGCCTTGACTATTTTTTGGTTAGCAGCTCAATTATGACAGACATTTCCAACACTCAAATTCACCCAAAATCACTATCAGTGATCATACACCAGTTTCTATCACTCTTACTAAAAAAAGGGTCACACGGCCGACTAGAAGTTGGAGATTTAATGCATCATTGCTTAAAGACCTAGATTTTGTAAGTTATTTCAAAAAGGAATGGGCAAAATATACCGAAACTAATAACCTGCCAGGGTACTTTGCCATGTCTTCTTTGGGAGGCAGCAAAAGCATTCATGAGAGGTTAAATAATCTCCTATTCATCATACAAAAACTAGAACAAAAATAAAAACATTACACACTGCCCTTGCTGCCTCTCCACAGGAACACATGCTGAATGATCTGAGAAAATCAAAACTTGAATTAAATGAAATTATTAATAAAAAAGACCCAATTTCAGTTGCAAAGACTACACTTGGAAAACTTTGAACATGGCAATAAATCCAACAGATTCTAAGCCAACCAACTGAAATTGAATAAAGAAAAAATAACAATTTCCTCCTTAAAGGACTCAGCTGGGAATCTGACTTATAACCCAGAAGAAATCAAAAATGCATTTAGAGATTATTATAAAAACTTACTATACATCACAAATTGACCCATCTAGCTCTAACATCGATGCATTTCTGAACAATATAGATTTGCCAAGATTAGTTGATGAACAGATCAGGGCTCTGGATTCACCTGTTTCAATGGCTGAACTCCAGGAAGCTCTCTTACATATGCTGAATAATAAAGCCCCTGGGCAAGTGGTTTTCCAGATGAATTCTTCAAGGAATTCTGGGAAATACTTGCGCCCACATTCTATAGGATGGTTATACAAATTAGGGGTACTTGCATGTTTCCTCCAACAATCAACTCCTGCTCCTTAAACCAGACAAAGACCCCACACTCCCGTCCAGTTATCGCCCAATATCACTTATTAACGCAGATCTTAAAATCATCTGCAAAACCCTAGCAAGAAGGCTAGAGAAGGTCACTCCTGGTATAATACACTCTGACCAAACAGGATTTATTAAGGGCAGGCAATCCACCAACAATACACGCAGGCTACTTAACGTAATAGACTGTGCCACTATTCATAACCTGATAGTTGTTTCTTTAGATGCAGAGAAAGCATTTGACAGAGTAAATTGGAAATTTCTATTCGCTACTTTACATAAATTTGGATTTGGAAGCTCTTTCGTAGATTGGATTAAAATCTTATACAGTTCCCCAAGAGCTTCTGTCAAAACAAATTATCATTCTTCTCCATGCTTTAGTCTCCAGAGGGGTACCAGAAACTACACGCCTTTACTAAAATCACTAGAGGATGACCTTGTACGGTGGACATCATTACCTATATCACTCATGGGAAGAGTCTCCACCATAAAAATGATGGTCCTACCTAAAATCAATTACCTGTTTTCAATGTTACCCACCAAACCCTCTGCTGTCTGGTTTAAATCACTGGACTCAAACATCTTAAAATTTTTGTGGGAAAATAAACCCCCACGAATCAGTTTAAAAACTGCAAAAAGCAAAGATTGTGGTGGTTTAAAACTGCCAAATTTACATCATTACAATAGACTACAATATATCTCAAAATGGACCAATCAAAGCCCCCTGGACCACTCATGGATGGACATAGAACAAACATTTTGTAAGGAAATAAAATTTTCCGATATGCCATTCATCAGTTCCAGAATCAAACATCATACCTGCTTTAAAAGCATTAACATAAGCACTTCCCTGGCAACTTGGTGGGAATATGGAATTAGCCATAATGGGGGGGGCATGGCTCCCCTGGCGTGGGGGCCGGCTCTGGACCTAGGGGTCTGGGGACTCAGGCTTTTGCTCAACTGGCCTTGGGGCCAGTTGTCTCCTCTCCTCGCCTGGGCCCTCTTCGGCAGGGGTAGGGCTCCCGCTGCGTCCCGCTGCCGGGGTGGGTTTTGGGTTGATCCGGTTGCAGTTTGGAGGGCTGTGATGGGATTGTAGAGCGATTGTCGATGCATCTTGATGTATTGTTTTTTTTTTTTTTTTTTTCTCAGGGTCTTTGGATGGCTGCTGGGCGTTTAGTTTGTGCATTGGAGTCCTAATATTCCTAAAGTATAGTAGTATAGTCCTAAATATTTTCCATTACTACAGGATGATGTCGTCGATAACTCATGGGTGGATGACTATGGCAAAGAACTGGGGAAAAGAAATTTAACATTTCTCATTCCTGAAGAAAAATCAGAAGAGGACAAGAGCAGGGTCAAGCCGTTTAAGGATGCATGTTTTTTATTATTATTATTATATTATATAATTTCAAATAGAAATCTTGTTATTATAATCAACATATATTGTAAAGATTTTCCTTTTAAAAAACGTCAATATACTGTTCTAAAACAGGTAATCAGCTGTGTGTGTTCATTGGACTTTTGGACCATTCTTCTAGAAGCGCATTTGTGAGGTCAGGGACAGATGTTGGATGAGAAGGCCTGGCTCGCAATCTCTGCTCTAATTCATCCCAAAGGTGTTCTGCCGGGTTGGGGTCAGGACTGTGCAGACTAGTCAAGTTCTCCACACCAAACTCACTTATCCAACTTATGGACCTTGCTTTGTGCACTTGTGCGCAGTCATGTAGGAACAGGAAGGGACCATTCCCAAACTGTTTCGACAAAGTTGGGTGCATGAAATTGTCCAAAATGTCTTGGTATGCTGAAGCATTAACAGTTACTTTCACTGAAACTAAGGGGCTAAGCCAACCCCTGAACACCCCCACACCAAACTTTACGCAGTCAGGCCAGTACCATTCTTGGCAACCGCCAAACCCAGACTTATCCATCAGATTGCCAGACAGAGAAGCGTGATTCGTCACTCCAGAGAACACGTCTCCACTGCACTAGTGTTTAGTGGCGGCGTGCTTTTCACCATGTATCCGACGCTTTGCATTGCACTTGGTGATGTAAGGCTTGGATGCAGCTGCTCGGCCATGGAAACCCATTCCATGAAGCTCTTTACGCACTCTTCTAGAGCTAATCTGAAGGCCACATGACATTTGGAGGTCTGTAGCTCGACTCTGCAGAAAGTTGGCAGCTTCTGCAAATGCGCCAACCCCGCTCTGGGATTTCTACCAACCAACCCAATCTATAGTATTTGAACAAGATACTTACGACTACACGAGTCACACTTCTGGCATTTCGGTAATAAGTTTGGTACTTCGGTGTATTCGTCGTTTCCACATTTTTTACATATGTACTGTCCTGCTCGATCCGCACAGTCACCGGCCTTATGATATCCTGGGAAACGGAGAAACGGAGAAAGGGAATGAGTTAACCTGTGATAATTCCACAATAATTCTTCAACACAAGGCTAATGCATGCAGTTCCTTGTTATAACTTACCAGCTGGACACATTGCATAACATGAATTACTGGTTTGTTCCGTCCGCTCTGTGTAACTCTGTCCAGTGGAAAGGAAGGCAAGTGTCAGTGAGAAAACCTGAAACAAAGAGGAGGTATGAAGAGGTGAGGTACTGTGTGGAGAGGAAGATGCTAACAAACCAACTGGCCTGACATTTTCACACCACAGCTGCCATCAAGAAGGGCAAGCAAGGTTCAGAACAACTCGTCAAGTCATTGCACAGCCATATGTTGCTTTTTCATTTTCATACATCTTTGATATCAAGCAAGCAGGTCTTCAGCTTGGTGGCTAGGTTAGTGGTGATCTTTAACTCCTTGTGGACTACCCTGAATGAGGCCAGAGGATCAGTATGAGTGGCACAAACATTTTAAAGGGTATCAAAAACCTGGCATAAACATGGCAGTGGCTGCCCAGATTATACCCTCATCTTAAGCCATTCTCAATCAGTCCTAAACAAGGGTTTGCCAATTTCCTGATGGTCAGATGGAGCCATGAAACAATCAAAACTGTAGGTGCCCATTACCTGATGCATCTTGATGAGGAATGAACCTGACCAATTGCTAACTGCCAGAACATTGTTGATCTTTGTGAGCTGCAGCTCACTATTATTTTTTTTACCAAAACCCCTGAAGAAGAGGTCCTTTACACACATTTTCTAGCCTACAGTTTGAATGCCAAGTCAATGAGGGAGGCAGAGAAGAGAAAATAAAGCAAAATAGGAGCCTTATGAAAGAGCTGTTTAAAGTTAAAAAGAATCTAAATCTTAAGAGCCCCAGAGCTCAGTTTAACAAGGTTGCCACTGGTACGAATTGTGTGGATTTATTCATTCACCTCCTCCTGGACCCAGCACACCACCTAACAAATGTTGGCTGCCCAATAATAATACATATCATTCGGCAGTTCTCCATCTCCCTTCTGCCATTCTGAAAACACGTGTGTTCATTTAATTCCTTGAAAAGTGACCTTGGTAAAAGAATAGTATTGGTATAAAAAATGTATTAATCACCAGAGTTAAATCTGCCAGCCAGCAACAAAAGAAGGGATGACGACTACTACTCAATATCTTGTTTGGCTTTATCCACGGCTATCTTAAAATTATTGTGAAACAAATTCTTATATCTTTCAGTCACAGACACACCTAAATATGTAAATCTTAGAGCAGTTAATTAATCAATTAGTTGACTGTCAGAAAGTTACCCAGCAACTATTTTGATCACCGCAAAAATGTCAACCCTTCAGTGGTTCCAGTCTATAAATAATGGATATTTTCTGTTCTTCTTTGTAAACTGAATATTGGACTGTTGGTCAAACAAAGTAGGACATATGAAGATGTCAGCTTGGACTTTGGGAACACATATTGCTATTTGCTGACATTCTACAAACCCAATGTAATAGAGAAAACCATCGGTAGATTAAACAATAATGCAAATAAGTTTAAGTAGCAGTCTGATCAAATTTATAAGGTTATTAAATGTGTAGACTTATTTTTGTTACCAGAGCGGCAAGACCACATTAGAGAGCCCCATTAACCAAGAGACCTCTGCCACTTCACTCATCCACATAACTTCAAGTTTCCTATCAATCAGCATTACAACTTTGGTGTTTTGCAGCAACTGATAAGAAGCAACATGATAAGCCAACAGTGAGATTGTGTGTGTATATACGCACTTTATGACTTTCTCACATTACTCAAGGACATACAAATGACAAGTTCTTAAAAGACCATAAGCGACATACTGTGTGTTTGTTCGGTTGCTTTCATGGCAACAGCAATAATGTGACAGACACTACAGTTCCTGTATCAGTGAGTAATGACTATCTGAAATCCACTCACAGAAACTAAAATAAAGTGTCGCTGAAATGACGACGACAAAATAAAATGATCTGTACTGGATTGCTTACAACCAACTTTAGATGGTTGTTAGTTTCACTCATTTGAAGACCAAAAAAAAGTTTGATTATTGCAGTATATCACCAGATATAACTCAATTTACTCACTGAATGAGGCAATCTGACTTTTAGCCATCTGTTCCTTTTAAAGCTGACTCAAATAAAGTGTTAAAGGAACCCTGCGTGTATGTCTGTCGGTGTTTGTAAGTCAGAGATGTCAGTTCTTTGGAGTTTTCAGGGAAGTAGTGCGAAAAACAGGAAACACAGTAAAGATCACATAACACCCCCCACACACACTGTCACATACAGTGACATGACTCTTGGTGGCAACGCCAGCGCAGGAGTTCCTTTGCCTGATTCCAATAACTCCGCCTCTGTGAAAACAGTGTCAGACACAAGGACTGTGGACATGTGTGTGACTAATTCAAGAGCCGGATACAGGGGTTGGATGTAAGTGGTGGTATGTGTTCTTACTGTGTTTCCTGTTTTTCACACTACTCTGAAAAGTTGGTTGTTTAACTTGCTCACGGACAACTCTTCAAACATGGACTTTGTCTTGGTAAGCAATCCAGTACAGATCATTTTATTTTGTCGTCGTCATTTCAGCGACACTTTATTTTAGTTTCTGTGAGTGGATTTCAGATAGTCATTACTCACTGATACAGGAACTGTAGTGTCTGTCACATTATTGCTGTTGCCATGAAAGCAACCGAACAAACACACAGTATGTCGCTTATGGTCTTTTAAGAACTTGTCATTTGTATGTCCTTGAGTAATGTGAGAAAGTCATAAAGTGCGTATATACACACACAATCTCACTGTTGGCTTATCATGTTGCTTCTTATCAGTTGCTGCAAAACACCAAAGTTGTAATGCTGATTGATAGGAAACTTGAAGTTATGTGGATGAGTGAAGTGGCAGAGGTCTCTTGGTTAATGGGGCTCTCTAATGTGGTCTTGCCGCTCTGGTAGCAAAAATAAGTCTACACATTTAATAACCTTATAAATTGATCAGACTGCTACTTAAACTTATTTGCATTATTGTTTAATCTACCGATGGTTTTCTTTATTACATTGGGTTTGTAGAATGTCAGCAAATAGCAATATGTGTTCCCAAAGTCCAAGCTGACATCTTCATATGTCCTACTATGTTTGACCAACAGTCCAATATATTCAGTTTACAAAGAAGAACAGAAAATATCCATTATTTATAGACTGGAACCACTGAAGGGTTGACAATTTTGCGGTGATCAAAATAGTTGCTGGTTAACTTTCCGACAGTCAACTAATTGATTAATTAACTGCTCTAAGATTTACATATTTAGGTGTGTCTGTGACTGAAAGATATAAGAATTTGTTTCGCAATAATTTTAAGATAGCCCTGGATAAAGCCAAACAAGATATTGAGTAGTAGTCAACCCTTCTTTTGTTGCTGGCTGGCAGATTTAACTCTGGTGATTAATACATTTTTTATACCAATACTATTCTTTTACCAAGGTCACTTTTCAAGGAATTAAATGAACACACGTGTTTTCAGAATGGCAGAAGGGAGATGGAGAACTGCCGAATGATATGTATTATTATTGGGCAGCCAACATTTGTTAGGTGGTGTGCTGGGTCCAGGAGGAGGTGAATGAATAAATCCACACAATTCGTACCAGTAGCAACCTTGTTAAACTGAGCTCTGGGGCTCTTAAGATTTAGATTCTTTTTAACTTTAAACAGCTCTTTCATAAGGCTCCTATTTTGCTTTATTTTCTCTTCTCTGCCTCCCTCATTGACTTGGCATTCAAACTGTAGGCTAGAAAATGTGTAGGCTAGAAAATGTGTGTAAAGGACCTCTTCAGGGGTTTTGGTAAAAAAAATAATAGTGAGCTGCAGCTCACAAAGATCAGAAATGTTCTGGCAGTTAGCAATTGGTCAGGTTCATTCCTCATCAAGTTGCATCAGGTAATGGGCACCTACAGTTTTGATTGTTTCATGGCTCCATCTGACCATCAGGAAATTGGCAAACCCTTGTTTAGGACTGATTGAGAATGGCTTAAGATGAGGGTATAATCTGGGCACCCACTGCCATGTTTATGCCAGGTTTTTGATACCCTTTAAAATGTTTGTGCCACTCATACTGATCCTCTGGCCTCATTCAGGGTAGTCCACAAGGAGTTAAAGATCACCACTAACCTATCCACCAAGCTGAAGACCTGCTTGCTTGATATCAAAGATGTATGAAAATGAAAAAGCAACATATGGCTGTGCAATGACTTGACGAGTTGTTCTGAACCTTGCTTGCCCTTCTTGATGGCAGCTGTGGTGTGAAAATGTCAGGCCAGTTGGTTTGTTAGCATCTTCCTCTCCACACAGTACCTCACCTCTTCATACCTCCTCTTTTGTTTCAGGTTTTCTCACTGACACTTGCCTTCCTTTCCACTGGACAGAGTTACACAGAGCCGACGGAACAAACCAGTAATTCATGTTATGCAATGTGTCCAGCTGGTAAGTTATAACAAGGAACTGCATGCATTGGCCTTGTGTTGAAGAATTATTGTGGAATTATCACAGGTTAACTCATTCCCTTTCTCCGTTTCTACACCGTTTCCCAGGATATCATAAGGTCGGTGACTGTGTGGATCGAGCAGGACAGTACATATGTAAAAAATGTGGAAACGACAAATACACCGAAGTACCAAACTTAATACCGAAATGCCAGAGGTGTGACTCGTGTAGTCGTAAGTATCTTGTTCAAATACTATAGATTGGAAAGTACCTCGCAGTCCCATGGCCTTTAATGGGCCTTTTAGAGTGTTGTTAGTGCGCAGGGATCTCAATCTACTTGACAGTTGGGTGGTAGAAATACATGCTTGTGGGGAAATAATATATTGGTATGATTGGTATTTTATGGATATCTAAATAGAAATATGATTTACCTCTTTTCATAATGAGAATTTATTCTGATGAAGTACAGAAAAAGAAATAGCAAAAAATATATGGTAATGATGACTCAAGCAATTGTGTGTTTGGGAAGTTGAAATTCTGCGATGAAATATACCTTTCTAGGAGGTTAAATCCAAAGTAGCAGGTTAAGGCTGTTTTGTTTCATAAAAGCAACATCAAAATAATTCACTGATTGGTATATCCATTTTAACTCCAGGTTATGTTGGATGTTGTCTTAAAAGTCAGTTCTGAGCTGTAACAGGTTTAGCATACATTTGAAGAAGATTATAAGAAATTGTCAGGACTGTGTTTTGATTTTTCCCCCCAGATATTGAGAAGGAAATAAAACCCTGCACCTTTAATAGTAATGTGGTATGTGACTGTAAGGATGGATACTACAACTCAAACCCTAATCCCCATATAAGGAATTGCCAAACATGCAATCTACAAGATGTGGAGGTAGGTGACGCCATCTTGACTACCAGCAAGATCCACTTATTCAGCATGATAAAAACACTCTCAAAGGGAGACCATATCATGTTTCAGAATATTCACATTCACCCTCATATTTTCTTTTTCAGTGTCTGTTAATAATGAGGACTACAAAAGGAAGTGCAAGCCCTGCCAAAAACAAAAACTAAGACATGTTTAGATTTTTTTGTAAGAGAGTGGGAAGCCACACAGAACTGTAAGGGAAAAATCAATCTGCGTACTGTAGTGATAGCTCCCACTAAGTCTTAGGAGCTAGAGAAGGTTTTCATTTGGCACCTTGCAATTACAGTATGTTTTTGCCATTATGTTCTTTTTAGGGGTGTCTGATTCATTATTATCCCTATTTCTTGATCGTTCTATTTGTCTTAGTTGCTATATTTGCCTTTTACAATATGTTTTTTCATATATATATATATATTTTGTTTCTCTTTCTGTTGGAGAAGCTCATCCAGCATCTGATTTGCTTGGTGTGGTAACCTTTATTTTAGACTACAACATCCTTTTAGTCTGATTGTGTCAGGTCCTTCAGACAGTGGTAAAACACATTTTGTGAAACTGTTGATTGAAAATGCTGATGAGCTAATTTCAAAAACAGATTGAAAACACTGTATATAATTTTTATTTTTTCTGTGTTGGCAGCCATTGTTATTAAAATTAGAAATTTTGTTGACGGTATACCATTATCTTTATGCATTGATACGATACTACCTGTAGATACAATTTGCTTATTATTGATGATTTAATGAATGATGCTAGTAATAACAATGAGGTCCAAAGTGTGTTTACAAAATATGGGCACCATAGAAATTTCAGAATTTGTATCTCAAGGCAAAATTAGCCATACTATTAATTTGAATACCGTTTATCTTGTTTTGTTTAAAAATCCTAGAGATAAATACCAGGTCTTGCTTATGGTTAGAAAAATGTTTCCTGGGAAGAGCCATTTTTTTATGGATTGTTTCGATGATGTTACGAGTGTTCCTTATGGTTATTTGATGATTGATTTGAAAGCTAAGAAAACTGATGATTTCAGACTCAGAACTGACTTGTTTTCAGACATGTCTGTTGTGTATGTGCATAAGAGAAAGTAAATAAACACGCCTGATGGCATTAATGTCCCTGCCTTGCCTTTTCTTTCTAGATAAAATCTTTTCCATTTTAAATGTTTTGTTTTTATCTATAATAACTTTTTGCATCTCTTGCTCATAAAATGTTCCCTGTAATATTTCGCCATCATAGTCTTTTATCCTGTAAACAGGAGGGTCCCTTGACACGCATTCCTTTACAGTGAAATTTTATCAGTATAATTTTGTATGCAATATTAATTTTTTATTTTTTTATAAAAGGGCCGCGTAGTTTTGAAATTCTTACAGTATCGCCCACCTTATATTTAAAACAAATTACTCTTATCTTTTGTTTTATTCAAGTTGTTAAATACATCAATCGGTTTCATTTTAATACTATAATGATAACTATGATTGTAGGAGGTGACTAAATCCTGCAATATATCTACGTATCGTTTAGAATTATTGGCTGTTAAATAACGCCACATTTTAGATTTCGAGTCCTGTTGAAGCGCTCTACTTACAGATGCCTTAGTCTCATTGGATGTGGTAAAGTGTACGATACTTTTCCCTCATCTGTTTGGATTTTATGCGGCATTCTACCTTCGTCTAAAATATCTTTAAAGGATGCTGTGACGCATTTACCACTCTTAATTTTTTAATATAAAAAGGTTTAAATTTCCTCTTGATATATTTAAGTATTATATTCTGTATACTGTAAAACATGTAAGCTGTCTTGCCAACCGCCAATAAAAGAATAGCAGAAGCTTTCGCCGTGGAAGATACCGTTGTAAAGTATAGCTTTAAGATTACTGTTTGACAACTTTATTCAAGTTTGTACTAGTTCAGAGTCATTTTCGTCTGTCATTTTGTAGATTGGCTAACCTAAAGTTGTTCTTTACAACTCAATGCTGATATGAAGTATAGGGTTTGAAAGCTAACACACTTTTTACGGCGTGGATACCTGGCAGAGTTAATACAGCATCTAATTCGCCCTAACTTTACTAACGTTGTCATTCTGGCATCGAGTGATGCCAATCAAAGCTTTATATCGGTCGTGACAGTGACTGTTAATTTATTAACGATTGAGATGTTTTCTGTTTGTGTGATTTCTCCCATTGAGTGCTTTAAATTATGTATCATATCATATTATGTATAATATCATCTGTTGTGTGCACTTCTCTTTTTCCAGGATAGACACGTCTTTCTCTTTAGAGAAGCTTTGTGGTTTAATGTAAAATACGATAGGACAGTTCACAGTGCTTCAAAGAATCATCATGAAATCATGAAAAATGTCAAATTCTTTCAAGTTCAATTTCTATCAAAGCTGACCTTTGCTTGTAATTGAAAATTTAAAAAAAACAAACAGTTTATTGTGGTTTTAAACTTTTCTTTATGGTCAGTACATGACAAGAACCTGTTAAATGTCAACAATTATGATCAAATCTTTTTCTAAAAAATGTAAGTGAAGGTAGGCATTAAAATAATTCAGGAAAAATGTATGCACACCATGGACTCCAAATAATAATTCTTGTGAAAGCAATGGTTTGATCCAATCTCATAGATCAAAACACAGAGATGGGGACTCGAGTTAGAGACTCGGACTGAAGTGCGACTTAAGTCGCACACACAGTGACTTTAGACTCGAGGCGCGGGACTCGTGAACAATGTTTATGTTTTAGGACACGTCTGATGAGCTTGCCGTTATTCTGTTACCTATAACCTGCCTACGTAACACGTAACATCTGCTGCGCGCGACCGTACATGAGAGAGGACAACAAACACCGGCAGCTGCTGAGCCAATCATCATAAACTTTGGCTTTAAAACATCATAAATGATGGCCCAAACAAAGAACCGCTAAATGCAAATATGTGGTGAGTGAACATGTTGAGCTCAGCATTGGCCATCTAACGTTAGCTTGCTTCTTGCTTCAGCTACGAACTACAGGGAGGTTTACTCTGACTGTCGTTTTGTTATGAAAAGCTGAACGAGCATTTGTTTACTTGCCAAACTTGTGGTGGTCGATTAACGTAATCATTTACGTCCCGCAGGCTGCCATCACGTTAATTACTGCCGTTGGCTGGAAAGAGGTTACAGGTTTATTGTTGATCATGTAGCCTAACCCTACAGTTTTATTTAGTTATCGCCTAACATTACGCTGGTTTGAGAGTCTGCAGGGTGTGTTGACTTAAAGTAGTTTATAAGTGCTATGGTGTGGGGACAGAGTGGACCCAAACGCAACACTCGGGAAACACAGGCTTTATTAAAAGGTGTGACGCCCTGTGGGGTCATGAATGAGTGTGGCCTGTCTCTCTCTCTCTCTCTTTCTTGTGGAGGAGGAGCTGATTGCAGTAACTCTGGGCACCTGGGCTAATTGCCCTGTAGAGTATTTGGGACTGTTTTCTCAGTCTGCAGGGAGCTGCTGTCAAGACCAGATCAGACCTACCTGCGGCCGGCTCCCTGGTGTTCCATTTAGTTTGGTTTTCTTTGGTTGGACTGTTGCTTTGTGGTGCTTATCTTGTTTTGCATATTACAACACCTTCACACATACATTCATGCAACCATCATCCTGCACAGACACTACTGAAACCACAGACTACATAACTCATACTTTAATTATGTTAATTTGAAGTAACAATTGATTTGGTTTATTTTCATTAAATAAACATACGCTAACTGTTTACCATGGTGTGTCTCCCTTTTGTTGTCGCCTTTTGAGCCAGGTCATAACAAAGGGGAAACGGGGTTGAGGGAGTGGCGGATGCCGGGGGAAGGCACGGAGAACTGAGGGGACTGAGACAAGGGAGCCGGGGGCACTGGGGACCGAGGAAGCAAGGAGGCACGGGGAGGAGCCGGGAGGATGCCGTAGAAGGGGAGGGCAGGGTGGTGAGCCCAGCTGACGGAGCAGAGGATGGAGGTGAGACAGACAGGGTTAGACACAGCGGAGACAAAGCACACAGGGAAACAGAAATGATGCAGAATACGAGAGAGCTTGACTGGTGAAGTGGCGCCCGGGTAAGGATCAACGACGATCAAGCAGGGGTTGGCTGGAGAACCGGGGTAGAAGTACTGTCGGAGATGAGGCTGATTGCTGGCAGGTGTGGCAGGCAGAGGAGGTGGCTGACGAGATGCAGGTGCGGGTCGTTGGCTGGGCTCAGGAGCGGAGGGAGAGAGAGAGAGAGCACATGCAGGGGAGGAGACACAGGGAGGCCGGCAGAGTACAGGAAAAAAACAGAACAACAGGGGAAAGCAGAATCAAAAGCAAAAAAAGGAGAAATAAACAGGACACTCGCCCTCAGCTGGGTTGCCACCACAACAATAAGCTGTCATTAACTGCATTGCACATCACATGGTTGTGCTCTGTAAATTAAAAATAATGTTACAGCTTTATTGTTGACCATGTAACTTTACAGTATTGTTTAGTTAACTTTACACAGGGTTTGAAACTCAACAGGGTTTGTTGACTTACAGTAGTTTATCAGAGCAATGAAGTTTTATTAGCAACCTGGATTGAATGCAGCAGGTGATAAAACATTCGTAATAACCACGAGAGACTTGAGACCTGACTTGGACTCTAGCTCAAAGACTTGTGAGCATCTCTGTCAAAACATTGCCTTCAACAGTTTTATTAGGAGTTGTTGAGAGAAGGTGTGCAGAGCTTTGTCCTTTGTGTCCTGCAGTGATAGTTTTTGTCTGTCACTCGATTACTTTTGACTGGATGTGCACACTTAGCCCCTCTGGAGGTTTTATACCAATAACAACCATACAAATAATTGAAAACATTTTGTATAGAACCTTTTCACACAAAAAATGTAGCTCAGATCAAATCACAGATCACAATTATGTGAAAAGTAGTAAAACTTGTCAACATAGAGTGTGTAAGATTCTTAATGCTATTTAATGCAGTGAAGGCTGCATGTTTTCTAGTTGGCTTGCTACTGTTTATATTATCAACAGCACTCTTTTTCATGCACAGACATACACAACAACATACTAAGACACTGTGAGGACAACATTTACAGAGTTTTTGTTTTCTTTTAATCACAAGGAGAAGGAGTTGAGGAGGACTCTTCAACTGATGAGGTTCATCCAGTAAGGTCATGAAAGACGGGAAATCCAGAGACCTGGAACTTTAACATCCAGAAAAGTAGGAGAATGAGGGGCCTGGATTGAAGAAGGTGAGACAAATGGGGACACCATGCCAGTCCGCAACCTGCCAAAGGTTCCCTAAACTCCACTGCAGAAAAGCAGAAGACGCATCATAAGAACAAGATTTCTAAGTATTTCTGGGGGAATTTGGACTGGAGAAATGATTGTGAAGTCTGCGGCGGAGGGGTGCAGTGTAAAGCGGCGCTGGACAGGAGCAGATGAATCCAGGAGGTCAGCATCCCATTTTTTTGTCACCTTGTAGTAGATTGGAGAAGAATCTGAGTGTGCCAACGCTTCTTCCTGTCAACATTAGGTGTAAAGGAGTGGTGTTTTTTGAAGTGGGCAGGAAGAAGAGGAGAAAGTCATGAGAAGATTGAGGACGGGAACGGAAGGAAAAGGTTCTTTATTGTCACATACACATGGTGAAATTCATTCTCTGCATTTAACACTCATTGCCTCAAGAACCTAATCTAAGATGTTTTTGATGGTGTGGAAAACTGGAGCGCCCACACAGGAAGGAGGAAACCCACACAGACACAGGGAGAACATGCATTCTCCACACAGAAAGGCCTGGGATGACGGGTACGACAATGAGACCTTCTTGCAGTGAGGCCACAGTGCTTTCTGTAGGCCTTCCATAAGATTTTTCTTCTGGACCCTTGGAAAGTTCTATCGCACTTCTGTAGGTCCTCTTCATTGAAAGGTGTACCTGGAGCTTGTAATCAAGTCCATCGGTCACATGCACACCGATTATAAGCCCTCTTGCAAACAGCCTCTGTCAATGTAAGTTTTCTCAAACATTTTCAGTGACTTATATATATTTCCCTTTCACTTAAAGAAAGACCAGTGTGATGGCTATTGTTCATTCAAGCCTGGAAACATAGAAGCTGCTTCATGGGACACA